CGTCATTGTTATTTGGCAGGCCTGGGCTGGATTCGAACCCGCCACTTAGGTGTATGTGGCTGGTGCCTTAGCCACTTGAGCCACAGGTGCCAAGCCTGTAAGAGGGTTTTTTAAATGTATTGTGGATGGTAAACCTTTCTTTACCAGGTATGTGATTTGTGGATATTCTTCCATTCTGTAGCAATCTTGCTACAGCAATCTTTTACAATCTTGCTAATATCCTTTGATGCACAAGTCTTTAATTTTTAAGTTCAATTCATCTCTCTTGTCTTTTGTTGGTCTTGTTTTGGGTATCAAAAGAAGAATCTGTGGCCAAAACCAAAGTTAGGAAGATTTACCCTTATGTTTTCTTCTAAGAGTTATAATAGTTTAAGCTCTTACATTTTGATTATTGATCCATTTTGAGTGAATGCTTGTTTATAGGGAGAAGTAGGAGTCTAACTTAATTCCTTTGCATGTAGCTATTCACTTATCCCAACACTATTTTTTGAAGAGACTAATTGGAAATAAGCACCCTTGTTAAAAATGAGTTGGCCATAGATGTTTGGGTTGATTTCTGGACTCCCAATTCTGATCCATTGGTCTATATGTCTGTGTTATGCCAGCTACCCTGTTATTATTGTAGCTTTGTAGTAAGTTTTGAAATTGGAGTGTGTGAGCTCTGTAACTTTGTTTTTCTTTTTCAATATTGTTTTGGCTATTTGGGACCCCTGTAATTCCATATGAATTTATGATTGGCTTTTATATTTTGGGAATGGGAGAAGCCATTGGAAATTTGATAGAGATTGCATTGAATCCATACATTTCTTTGGAGAGGACTGACACTGTAGCAATATTAAGTCTTCTAATGTTTGAAAATGGGATGTCTCCCCACTTAATTAGGTCGTCTTTAATGTCTCACAGCAGTGTTTTGTATGTGCCAAGTCTTTTACCCTCTTGGGTACCTTTATTTTTAGGTATTCTTCTGTGTGCTTTTGTAAATGCAATTTTTTAAAATTTCCTTTTCAGATTGTTCATTGCTGGTGTATAGTAACAAAACTGATGTATGTGTGTTCATCTTGTGCCCTGTCACTTTGCTGAATTTACTAGCTCTGAAAGGTTTTTGGATTATTTGAGATTTACTGTATAGAGAGAGTCATCTACAAGTAGAGAGAGTTTTATTCTTTTGCTGTTTAGATGCCTTTTCTTTTACTTGACTGACTGCTCTGGTCAGAACTTCCATACAGTGTTGCGTAGCAGTCATGAAAGAGAGCATTCTTGTTTTGTTCCTAGTCTTAGGAGGAAAGCGTTCAGTCTTTCATCATATGATGTTAGTTGTGGGTTTTCCCATAAATGTGCTTTATCATATTAAGGAAGTTCCCTTCTACCTAGTTTGCTAAGTGTTTTTATCATGACAAAGTGGGCCTATTTTTTTTTTTTAATGAAAATTTGGCTCAAAGCAATAAAATGTGGACCTGATAAAATGTGCCAGTAGCTTTTATTTGGAATCTTTGTTCTTCCATTCCATCATGTGGAATCTCCTGGGATCACATCCGCTTAGGTGGTGGACATAATGAGGGTTAACGTGGATAAGGTGTTGGAAAGAGACCAGAAGCTCTCCGAGTTAGACGACCGTGCAGATGCGCTGCAGGCAGGTGCCTCTCAGTTTGAAACAAGTGCTGCCAAGTTGAAGAGAAAATACTGGTGGAAGAATTGCAAGGTAATTCTCTTTTAACTGACCTTTAAGTCCCCTTCTCCATTCTTAGAGCTTCAACAGAGGCTACAAATACTGGACTTTCACAAATCTGGGAAGTGGGTTTGAATTCCCACATGTGGAAGTTGGGTTGACTGTGAATCTGAAACGCTGACTGCATCCCGTTTCCCAGGACTCCTCCATGTCCTGTGGCTGATTCAGGAAGCATATACAACAGGAATGTCCAAAATCCATCACAGGCATCAGCCTCTCCCAACCCTCTACCCCACAGTGCCCTAAACATGGTTTAAAGGGAGAGGACTGGAACTGGATGATCAGTTTCCATGTAGTTATGTGAATGGCTCCAAGGTCAAGGGAAAGAAATGCTAGAAAGTCACAGTGTGCTCAGCAAAGAGTAGAACACAGCCTCACAAGGAACATGGCCCAAAGCAGATTTTTGAAGTTAGCAAATAAGGGCTCTGTGATCAGATCCCAAATGTATCCTGCCCTCTGCTTGCTTTAGAAGTGACACTTTCAAACACAGGACAAGCTTAGTAGCCCTTTCTTATGTGGAAAACTTGTATATACAAATAAATGGCTATCTAGATATCACAAATCATTTTAATACCTTTTAAAAAGCAGATAAGTGACCATCAGGCCTAATTAAGTATACATTTAGACTTCAGAAATTATGAATTGTTCCAAATTGTAATGCACTTGAATTTCTGTCTCAGTAACTAGAATAACATTCTATGATACTTTTCAATAAGCACATTATATCTAATTTTGAGAGGTGAAATGGACATATGTTTTGTTACAGATGTGGGCCATAGGGATTACTGTTCTGGTTATCATCATCATCATCATCATCGGTGAGTTACCTGTTCTAAACTCATTGCGAAAGTCCTCTCCATGTGTTCACAGGTGATTGCACATAGAGGAGCTCAGACCAAAGGTTCCCTCAGAAACATCTGTTTATTCCAAGGGTTTTAATTTTCTTTCATAAATGTTTTAAATAATTGAGTTTTGTATAATTATTAGTCTGAAATATTTGATATAAACTTTAATCCTTTTAGGCTAGAGAAAATGTATTCATTTCCACTGACCGATCAGTTCTTTTCTCTGAATATATTTTTATCCTGTATTTCCATTTATGGACTGTAGTAGTGACACACATTGATTACCTGTGATCCGCACTGGTTCACCACCATCCAGCAAGCAATATCGCTGGGCCTCAGTTTCTTCATTTGTAAAATAGAGGTAATAATAGTACCTACCTTGTTGGTTCATTATAAGGACAAATCTGGTAATGTGTGAAAAGTGCTTAGGATGGTACCTGGCATATAATAAAAATAATAGTTATATAAATAAAGTGTGTATGCAAGGTTGGACGATTAAGTTCATGAAGTCATCCTAGGAAAAATGCTACCCACCTCACTGCTGAATATCACTACAGTCAGCACATGGCCAAGGGGAGGACTTCAGAGGTGACCGTAGTAATACTCAGCAATGGGGTAGGTATGTAGCACTTTTTCTAGGGCGAGGTCACAAATATTATTGTCAGACATTGTGTGTATGCACACCCAATAAAGAGACATTTCTCAGGGAACCTTTAGTCTGAGCTCCTGTACACACAAATGCGTGCAACTGTTACTGTTATGAGTTACTATATATAATATTAGAGCAAAGTAACCCAATAGATAGGGACTATTTCTCATGGCTTCCTTTCACTGATAGGTTGATGGGAGTAGCAGATATTTCCTTTTAACAAGAATGTACAGTTCCTTGGATCCTTTCTTCTGGTCTCCTATAGCCCTCTATAAAATAAGAGAAGCCACTAGTAGGAGATCAGCCAAGTCAGATTTCTGTTCACAGTTAGCCTGTAGCATTTGGTGCTCACTCAGGTGTTGCACTGAGAGACTAACTGGCTTTTCTCCCTGTTTTTTTTTTTTCTTTTTTTTTTTTTGCCTCTCCCTTGCTTATTAGTGTGGAGTGTCTCTTCATGAAGAACCAGTGAAACTCAAGCCTGCTGTTCAAGAAACCTCAAGACTTTTGACATAGAACCTGCTTACCTACTGTTATATCTAAACTAGTTATTTTTGTTAGTTAATGTAAAGTTCAGTTTCTAGGAAATGTGCCTTTTGTTTTTTAACATGCACTCCAAGTTAGAAGTACGGCCAGCCCCGTCCACATTTTGCACAGTGCCTTTACAGATTTACATATGGGCTGATGAAGAGGACCTCTTAAGTTGCAGAGTAGTATAATTGAAATGTAATGTCGTCACTGATTAATTGCTGTTGATCCCAGTTAAGGGAATTTTTGCCAAGTTAGTTATCCTTGTCATATGGCATCGTCTTCAGAATTGCATTTTAAACTCCTGGGTAATTAGGTTTCCAACTTGTGCCTTCCAGAAAGAAAACACTACTGCCTAGCACAAATCTGTGACACTAACAGGCTGTGCCTTATTTTAATACTTTTCTGATTCCCCTTAAAAAACTCGCTCCTCTGTGTTTTCCTGAGCACTACTGACTTTTTCCGCTGTATTTAAAACAAGATGCTGGTAAAGAGTTTCTGCTCTAACATTAGATATGAAGATGTTTACTTTCTTGTTATTGTTTTGTATCACTTGCTAAAAATACTATTTTGATCAGAAACAATAACCTTTTCACAAAGTTTTTTAGAGCTGCGGCTATGACCAAAGTTTCTATTTTGCCAAAAAGTTAAATACTGATAAAATATCATCAAGTCTGTTCCCAACAGATAAATACAGAAAAGTGCCAAATGGAATTCAAAGTGCCCTGCAGAATTAAAATTGGAATACTGTGTTTGAATTTTCTACTACATGTTAACGATCTTTCTTGGCTTTGAACTGTAGATGGTGATGTTCCCCCTCTGATGCGTCATTTCTCATGGGGGGTTAGAGAAGGTTTGAGCTAGGCTCTGACTGCCTCATACCTAGGGACAAAGAGTTTACCCTGCAGTTACAAATTATCAGCTGGGGACTCCAGTATGTGTCTAGGAATTATGTAGCCCTCAAGTAAGACCATCTGTGAATTTGATCATTATCTGGCCCAGTCTTCATAGACTATAGCTTTTTGGAGTTTGTTTCCTATTTTTACTCATATTCTACTTCCTAAATCAGTCTTCTAATTTGCTTCCAGTTAGGCATTGGTCAGGGGAGGGTGAGGCTTTTCACAGAGAACAGCTAACCAGAGACATTTCCTTTCTTCAGTGTCATAAACTACCTGCACAGGATGCTGCTTTGAAAAAGCTGTTGTCATCTGGGAGACTTATTGTCTACATGATGACATCAGGGTATGTGGCTTAAAGATGGGAGTTTAGGTATGAAAACAGGAAAGGAGGCACTGAAGGAGAAACAAACTTTACTACTTTGTGGCCCACTGTCACTAGAGAGTTCTAAAATTCTTCACATTCTATTACGACTTAACAAAGCAACAACAGCTTAGGTACACCAGGATGTGGGTTCTGCTTCTCTAGTGTCTGTCCCCTGACGTCACTGAAATGATTTAATATTGAAGACATGGTTTGCAGTGTGCCTCGCTGTGAGGAGAGAGCAGCTATCAGTGTTGAGACATGAGCCCACCTTCAGCACAGGGTCTGTGGCCAAGTCTGACTCTGAAACCTTGGTGCTTTCTCCTTGGCCTCAGTGCTCGGTTCCATGTAACCCACTGGCTCCTGCATTAACCCAGGAATACCTCGCTCATATCCGTGCATTTAGCTGGGAACTGGCCCACTGTAATGACCTGAATAAAGTGTTTATAAACATGATTCTGGTACTAGTGTTTCTTGTAGAGGGACAAGTGTGCCCGGTCCAGGTTCTAAACATGTCATTCTTTGCTGCTTCCCCCGTCTCCCTTATAAACCTCCAAACTACACTTCCTCTTCTCCTTTCTCACTAGGACCCAGCAATTCTCCATAGCCAAGTAAATAGAAGCAAAACGCTCAAAGTGCCCTTCAGTATAGGAAATGAGTAGGAAACTGGCTTTCACACAATTACCAAAATGTTTAGGATTTAGCTTTTGAGTTTCTTAAATCTTCCAACAGTGATGTGCAGAGCTGGCCCTGCTTATGGCAGGCTAGTCAGCTGTTGGCATGGAATAGGTGAGGAACACCTCCAAACACATGGCTCTTGTTTTGATTCTGTGTATCTTTCCTCCCCCCCACCATAAATATATTTTCACTCTCTCACTGTGACCCCTAGGAAACAATATAATTTGGATGGAAGTAGACTTTTGTTAATGTTTACAACAGAAAAATTCAAACTGCTTCTCTAATGACAAAGCCCCACCACGATAAGGCCTTCCCAACTTTCGACTTCATCCCTCACGCCACCCGCCCTACTCTGTTCTATAGTATGCTAGTCCAGCTGTTTCATTTGAGAGGCTCGTGTGCAAGAGACTTTCGCCATCAGGGTATGTTGCTTAAAGACCAGCAATCTAGTATGAATGAAAAAGTTGAGGAAGTGCTGAGGGAGAAACAGACCAGAACTGAGTTTGTTTCTCTCAGCAGCGAACTTCCTTCTCTTTAGGGCCTCTGCAGGTGCAACTTCACCCTTTTGGGTCAGCTTCCCCACCCGCTAGCAGCCTCCTCTCATCACTCAGGGTTTAACTTGGCCGGTCACCTGACTAATGTGGCTCTGGCCTCCAGCACGGACATGCCTCTGCCCCAGTCACACCTCATCACATTAGGCTTTCTGAACTTAACTTTATGGGGTCATTTCTATGTCTTTCTCAATAAAATGCAGACTCTCTGGGTGGCAGGGACTTTTATACACCATTCAATCCCCAGGGATTACAATTGCCCCCTACTCAGATGTGCACTCAATTGACGAATGAATGCAGTTTGACAAAACAGGGATTTGGGGGCAAGACATGTAATCTAGACAATGACTTAGGGTGATAAGGTGGCTTATCCTGTACGTAATATAAACAGTCATCCACTTCACTTTTCCCCACTTCCGTTATTTACAGTTCCTTTCACTGACGCAACAAATACGGAATGTTTTTCATGCACCAGGCAGCACAGAAGGGCGGACCTCGGCTCTGTACCTTTCATTTCCGATGAGATGAGACAGAATCACACTTGGTTGATTCTCCTTTTCTGAAAGGAGTGTCCCTTACATACACTTGCCTTTCTCCATTTGCCAAATGCATCTGTAATTTTAAGACCAGGGCAGTGTTTGAAAGACCATACCACTGTCTGAAAATCGGGTTGGATTTTAATACTGCCAGGTTCCTTCAAGCACACCTGGCTCACCTGAAGAAGTGGTGTGAGGGAGGGCAAGAAGATTAGGAAAGATGAAAACTACAGAAACCCAAGCAGCCGCCCAGAGCACTCCGAAGGCCAGTGCCACCTTCTGCTCTTACCTAGGTGGGAGCCAGAACCACCTGCCCCAGGAAAACAGGCCTAACCTTTATACTTTCCTTTCGCTCCCGTCCCGCCTTCGTCTTGCCCCCGCCCCTCGCCGAGGCCCCGCCTCCCTTTCGCGTTGGCCGCCCCACCTCTCTCTCCACCTCCTGCCTCCCACTCACCTCCCCCGCCCCTCCTCTCACGTGGAGGCCTAGCCGGCCCCGCCTACCCGCGTCCAAGGTCCCGCCCCCCATGATTGGCAGCTCTGGAGCCCTGTCAGCAAGCAAGGCTCTGGCTCCAACGGCTCCTCCCCCGGCGCTGAGCACGGGACACGGCACTGGACTCCTGAGGCCTAGACCAGAGCCTCCTCATAGCCACTCCGCCCCCTGCCCACGCGCCGCTGGCCGCTATTGGCCCCATGCCGTCCTCGGCCCGACCTCCGCGGATTATGTAACGCGCTCCTGCGCCTTCACCCCCGCCCCGTTGCCTTCGCTTATGTAACCCAGGGCGCCCCGGCTCGGGCCCCGCCCCAAAGCCAATGGGGTCCCGTATAGCCGGCCTGGCGACCAATCGCGTGGCCCGGAGGCGGAGCTGGGTCACGCGGCGCCTGGGGGGCGCGGCGCCTGGCACGCGGCTGGCCTCGAGAGTGCGTGCGGCGCTCCAAGGCGGGAGGAGCTGCTGCGCTCGGGGCCAGGGGCGGCGGTGGCCGGTGGGTGCAGGTTGCGGGAGGGCGGGAGGCCTCGAGGGGCCTGCGCGCGGCCCAGGGGCACCCCGAGCCCTGCCCTCCTGTGGGAGGCCACCGGAACGTTGCGCTCCGGAGGTGTCCCCTTGTCCAGGCCCAGTTTTTCGGCGCACGCCGACTTTCCTGACTGACTGGGGGAAAGTTGGGTACAGGCTGGGGACCCTCCCCAGGGCCGCGCGCCTGGGGGCCGCAGCCAGCTGGGTTTCGGGCGTCTGATAGTGCGTTTCACTTGTCTCTCGTACCCTTTGTCTCCTCTCCCCAGGCTGGACCCCGGGAGCGGAGAAGTCTCAGAAGGTTTTTATGGAAGTTCTGGGGAGGGAAGCCCCTTTGACACGAATGTAAACTGGTAACTGCTGCCCGGGGTTCACCGATATTTCTCTGAAGCGATGGCACGGACCGAAATAAGAAGTCTCTGGCTATCGCTCATTGCAAAGTGAGAGAGAAGCAAGCAGAGGACTGAGGGCTGCCCGCACTACATGGACCCCTGCGAAGATCTGGAGATGCCCGGCGGGCAGACTCCTGACCCCGGGCGACTGGAGGCCGGTGGAGAGGCGGAGAGGTGGAGTCCTCAGTTCCAGCTGCAGAGGAAATTCGTGGAAAGCAGCAACAGGTGACGCTCTGGCTTCATTTCCACGACCCAGTGTGTTTGTTGTCTATCACTGGAGTAGAAAAAGGGGAAGGAGGATTTAAGTCTTTTTATTTTTTTGCTTTTAAGGTCAGGGAAAAATGTAGGGGGAAACTCGGGCAACTTAGGATGAAATGATCTGGGACACAGAAGAAAATCCCCAGAATGCCAGAAGGAGATGATAAGTGGTTAAAGTTAACTGAGTTCGGATTCCAAATTGGAAGCTCGAGAGAAACAAAGTGAGAAGTGTTTGGCATTTATCAATGTCTTTGCCGAGGGTTCCCTACTTTTAAGAAAAGGGATAAATAAATCTGAACACTTGGAAAGTTGCCTGGCACGAAGTTGCAAACTATTCCATAAATGCTGGCTCTGATGGTAGCGTTTTTTATCTTCCAGGGAACAGCAAGATCGAAACAGAGTTTCTGAAGAACTTGTAATGGTTGTCCAAGAAATGAAGAAATATTTCCCATCAGAGAGACACAATAAGCCAAGTACTCTAGATGCCCTCAATTATGCCCTTCGCTGCGTGCACAGTGTGCAAGGTAAATGGGCAGGAGAGAAATCGGATCCTGCAAGGGCACTAGTAGTCACATGCAACAGAGGAGTGCTCAATGGGGTTTTAGCCACAGAAATACTGGGAGCTTTTTTTTTTATTGTAAGTATGTACATTAATGCAGGAAATACTAGGAGCGTTTTATAATGTTTTGTGTAAGATGACCAGATCCACATTGGTTCCCTTAGTGTCATAATTTTTCACATTTGAAAAGCCAAAAAACCTTATTTGTATAACAGTTTAGCAACTGCAGCATTTGGCTGATTTTCTGCAAAAGGATATAGTTTAGCATAAGCACGTTTTGAAAGCTGGTTTTCTGAAAAAGCATTGTCCCCTGTGGATGTTACCGGGAAAAACATTTGACAAAATACAATTGCCTTTCCCTCTCCTATACATACTTTTAAAACGTAGTATGATCTATCAGGAATTTACCAAATTAAAAATGAACAGTTTTAAACACTTTCTCCTTGACTTTTCTTGAAAAGATGTCATAAAGTCATATCTTTTTTAGTGCAAACCTCTGTGCTTTATATATGATATATAGTTCCTGAATGCAGAAGTAATGCTTCTGCCAAAAACAGTTGTGTGTGTTTGACATTTTCTGTTTCAGTAACTTGTTTTAGCACCTTAAATATATCTTGGGCCTTGTGATCTAGAACGTGTATTATTAATATAATTCAAAATCTTCAGTTCTCACAACTATCAGTATTTTAGGTAAAAGCAGAATGATCTGGTTTTTAGGTAGATGGACTGAGTCATTGTCCTAAAACATCCAGCTTTATAATGATAAGATGATTTCCTAAAGATGTTGTTGTCACAAAGAATGTTTATTTCCCTGTGTTTCTTAGCAAACAGTGGGTTTTTCCAGACTCTCAGTCAAAATGGAGCATCTCAGGCAGATGTGACCACATACAGTCTTGAGGAGCTGGCCACTATTGCTTCAGAACACACTTCTAAAAACACAGTAAGAGTTCATGAATTTTGCCCTGTCAACCTGGGGGACTTTTTCTAAGGACCTTCTTTCTCTAGATGTAGATTTTTAAAAATGATAACTGACATTTTCAGTAACCACAATTTGAGGTAAACAGTGCAGAAACTGCTAAAGAGATAGTGTGTGGTTTCCCCTGCGCTTGCCAGAGAAAGCATCTAAAAACAGAAGCAGTGCTTCATGTGTAGTTCACGTTTAGTTAGGAGGTGTTTCTGGCTCTGTAGCATTCTTGAGTTCTCTTGAATTAAGAGAAAAAATAATGCTGCAGAGTAATTTCCTGCATCTGATGCTAATCTCCGAATTGTTAATTTCTATTTATATCATTCTTAGTTCCAATACCTACTACTTCAAGTTGTAACAACTGGATTTTGTAGAACAGGTGAGTTGAGATGCTGTCATTTTTTGTAAAATGTTGGAAGAGACCTTTAGTATATCTTTTTAAAATCTCTTCTTGTTGACAGAATAATTAAGCCACATGTTTTGTTGTTATGGTGGAGATTATTTGTTTTTATGTTTAGGATTCAATTGTAACTTAAAGATTTTATAACAGTAGAATGTGAGCTATCCCTAATGTTATAATAGTGCTCATTTAACAGACTTGTGTGTGCATAGTACTGTAGTACATATTGTGGAGATTTTAAATGAAAATTTAAGAGAACATTTTTCCTGTAAGATCTTTAAAATAAAGCTAAGGAGGAAAATCCATCCTTGATGGCAAACACAAACAATGGCTGATAACACTAAATAAGTGACATTTTAAGTCTAATGGAAGAAATTAGAGCAGTAATTCTTATGTAATGAGATTTGTCAGGGGCAGCTTCTTCAAGGAGGTGACTCTGGTTTTGAGAGACAGTCTCATGCTGTTGCCCTGAGCTAGGTTACCACGACATCGGCCTCACTCACAGAAACCTCAAACTCCTGGGTTCAAGCAATCCTCCTGCCTCAGCCTCCTGAGTAGCAGGAACCACAAAGCCCGGCTGATTTTTCTATTTTTAGTAGAGGAGGGTCTCTCTCTTGCTCTTGCTCAGTCTGGTCTCCAACTCATGAGCTGAAGTTATCCTCTCACCTTGGCCTCCCAGAATGCTGAGGTTACAAGTGTCAGCCTCTGTGCCTAGCCAAAAGGTGACTCTTGTGCCTGGTCTTAAAGCATAGACTCTGTGTTGTTGAAGACAGTCCCTCTAGGTGTAAGGAGGAACTTACAGAGTGGGTTCAGAGAAGAAAGCATCAGAAGTTTATGTACCATATGTATGTTTAGTCTGTGTAGAATGAGCTGGTACATGTATATTTTTTGATCTAGAAGTCAAACTTTGAAAAGGAAAAAATGCAAGTTTGATACTAAAGAAGCATGTTTGAGAAAACTATGTAAGGAATTATATTACCTTTGTATGATGTACATGTGTGTTTTAAGCTATTGATCATGGCAGAAACCTAGAAGAAGTTTATCTTTCAGGAAATATTGTCAGTAAGTGTCTCAGTGTTTGCATTTATTTTAAATGTTTTCCATAGGATACCTTTGTGGCAGTGTTTTCATTTCTGTCTGGAAGGTTAGTGCACATTTCTGAACAGGCTGCTTTGACCCTGAATTGTAAGAAAGGTTGCTTGGAGTCTTCTCACTTTGTTGACCTGCTCGCTCCTCAAGACGTGAGAGTGTTCTACACGCACACTGCCCGAGCTCAGCTTCCCTTTTGGAACAACTGGACCCAAAGAGGTAACAGGACCATTATTCAGATCTTTATCCCGCTTCAACAGGATCAGCTTCATTCTTTCAGAAATAGCACAGAAATTATTATTTAGAACATGCAAAGTGTACAGTTTTCCTGCTTTTTTTAAAAAGTCACAATACATTTGTTTTCGTTTAGTCACATCAGTTTCATAGATTATACATTGTAAAATGAGAGCAGTTTAATTGCTATGAAGGTTTGTTTCCTATAGTGAATAAAATTAAATGTTTTCCTTCTACATTGACTTTAAGATTTCTTTGTGTAATAGATTTTACTTTGGAGATAAAATTCTGATGGTTAGCTGCCTTTTCCACTTTTTCTTGCCCTGGAAAGTTCATGAATCTCCCTACTTTGTTTTTCTTTTGGAATACTTGTTTTCCTAAACCAAGGATGTCTATTCTCACTTTTCTTTATGACATTCATTTCTGTGTGATCTTTATTAATTTTTTTTAAACTCACCCTTTATTATTTCATATTCTTTGTGAAGCATCTCTTAAAGAGTTTTGTATATATCTAGCCTTTTTTTTTTTAAATGCCGCGGCATCTTAGCTCACAGCAACCTCAAATTTTTGGGCTCTAGCAAACCTCTTGCCTCAGCCTCCCAAATAGCTGGAACTACAGGCAACTGCCACAATGCCTGGCTAATTTTTTCTTTTTTTAGTAGAGACAGGGTCTCACTCTTGCTCACGCTGGTCTCAAACTCCTGAGCTCAGAAAATCCACCCATCTCAGCCTTCCAGAGTGCTAGGATTACAGGTGTGAGCCACCACCCCTGGCCTTACATATCAGCTTTCTCTTTGATTTTTAGTCATTTTTTTTCTAATTTTACTTTAAAACTTCTGTGACTTTTTTTTTTTTTTAAAAGATGGGGGCTAAACCTGTGTCCCTGCTGGAGTAGCATCACAGCTCACAGCAACCTCCAACTCCTGGGCTTAGACAATTCTCTTGCCTCAACCTCCCAAGTAGCTGGGATTACAGGTGCTTGCCATAACGCCCAGCTATTTTTTGTCTCAGTTTGGCCGGAGCCAGGTTTGAACCCGCCACACTCAGTGTGTGGAGCTGGCACTCTACCCACTGAGCCACAGGCACCGCCCAAAACTTTTATGACTTTTTTATTGTAGAAAAAAAGACTCACATAAAATTTACCATCTTAATCATTTTTAAGTGTATACTTCAGTATGTAAAATGTATTTTTATACTATTGTAAACCATCTCAAGGACCTCTGCATTTTTGTATCTGAAACTATGCATCCAGCTTTTATGACTTTTTAGTCCAGTGGGTGGACTGATGAGGAATGGTCTTGCATGCTCTTTTTTCCAGTTATAGGCCCTTGCCCCATCTTGCTTGATATTCTTACATAAGCTCTAGAAACATGCCTGTCATCCTTGCTTGCTTCTAGGTCCTTCATCTCTTTCTCTCACCTTTCAAAAATATTTCATTTCTCTTCTTCCTTCCTAAATACACATTTTCAACCTTTGATTGTCCATTTTTTCCCTCTGCTTTCATTAATCATCTGTTTATTCCATAAACAGTTACTTGGTAATTACCATGGGCCAAGAGCTACTCTAGATGAGGGGTCCTCAAACTTTTTAAACGGGGCCAGTTCACTGGCCCTCAGACCATTGGAGGGCCGGACTACAAGCTCCAGGATGAGTCAGCTGCTAAGCAGGAGAGGCAGCAGCGGCAAAAACACCCAGTGGGCCAGATAAATGTCCTAGGCGGGCCGCCTCTCGCCTGTGGGCCATAGTTTAAGAACGCCTGCTCTAGATGCTGGGATAGAATTATGAGCAGGACACAGGATATTGTTTGCCAGGTCTTTCACATTTCCCCTCAGATATTTTTCCTTAAACATTATATATTTTCAAGCTTTTTATCTCTGCTGATTGCTGGGAATTTCCCTTTCATGTTAAATATAGTAAACACTAAAATTGCTCATTTGGACCTCAAAATTTACTTATGTCATAAAGATATGGTGTGCATCTAGTTTAATCCTCATATTGTACTTCTGCTTCATAAATCCTCAAGGATTCAAACTTAATTGAGAGCAGTTGGTTCGCTCTACCTCTTTCTGGGCTCTGCCCATGTTACCCCCTTATGTCCCTTCCTTGGAGCTCAAAACATCAAGAAGACATAGGAAGCTGTGTGCTTAGCTTCTTAGGTCCTGCATTAGAACTAGTTTCTGCTTAACTTGCATTATGCAGACCTCTCAGAAGGATCTGAGAGCCTAGGTGTTAAAATGCGTCACGGACTTGTGTCTGGCTGTGTCTTAGATCACGCAGTCTGGCTTGGGTAGGACAGGACTTCCAGTGACGTGTGGCTGGTGTTCCGGTGCCTGCTGCAATCCACACATACAAGTGGTGTGAGCATAGACAGTAGAGGCTGTTTCCTGTCATCTTTTCTTTACATGTACAGGGATCTGGACTTTTTCAATATCTTGGTTCTTTAGGGTTCTCATTGTTTAGCTTATACTTTCAGTGTATTATTTTTAAACATCTCAAAGAGGTGACTCTGTTTTGAGAGGCAGTCTTGAACAGATGCTCAAATGTTACTTAGGAAGTTCTAATTAAAAGAAATACATATAGTCAGCAAACACTTGGCCTCCTCATTTGCCCCTAAGATAGGCAGATTTAAACATTTCTGAATAAACACCTCATAAATCAATAAAATTGGTGCAAAATCAAAAAATATATAAAAATCAATAAAATACAAGCCATTGACATGAGGACTGTAAGAAAATATTAATGACGCTGTAAATGGACATAATGTTTTAGAGATGATTCAAGTCATTAAGTGATCCTATCATTCTTCCTAGGAGCTCAATGCTTTCTCTTTTCTTTTCTTTTCTTTTTTTTTTTTTTTTTTTTTTTTTTTGAGACATAGGATTTTGCTATATTGCCCAGGCTAAAATACAGTGGCATCATCATAACTCACAGGAGCCTCAAACCACTGCGCTTAAACCAATCCTTCTGCCTAAGTCTCCCAAGTAGCTGGGACCACAGGCCCACGCTTGGCTAATTTTTTGTTTTTTGTTTGTAAAGGTGAGGTCTTGCTATGTCACTCAGGCTGGTATAAAATTCCTGGCCTCCCAAAGTGCTAGAGTTATAGGTGTGAGCCACTATGCCTAGCCACCTTCCTGAAATTTGTCCAAGGAAAGAATTTAAAAAGAAAAAAAATCAAATTTGTATATTGTATAGCTAAAAGCTAAAATAGTTTAAATTCCCAATTTTTGAGAAATTTCCAGACAGTAAAATAGACTATTACCATCAAAACAATTGTGCCAAAGGATCATTACATTGACATGTGTGACAGTGAATATGGGCAGTTACAGAATAGGGAAGAGCACGCTAGGTTATTCTGACACTCCATGGAATTTGGGACTCTCGCTGTTTACCTGAGAATAAAAGCCCTGGGAAAATAATTGGAGTGTGACTGGACCTCAAAATTAGGGAAAAGAGTGGTGTTTTAATCTAGAGGACCTCTCTTTTTCAAAAACTAGGATATGTAGGGCAGCACCTGTGGCTCAGTGAGTAGGGCACCGGTCCCATATACTGAGGGTGGTGGGTTCAAACCCAGCCCCAGCCAAAATACAAAAAAAAAAAAAAAAAATAGGATTTGTTGTTTGGTAAGAGTGCAGTATTGTTTTGCTGAGGAAGAGCTGCCGAGAAGGGAGTGATTGACAGTGTCCCCCTGTTTCTAGCAGCGTCCCAGTGTGAACCCGCTCTCGTGAAGTCCTTCTTCTGCAGGATCCGGTGAGTGTCCCCTCTGCTGACTGGTGAGACAGAAGTGGGCATTAGGCTCTGCTTTTATTTATTTATGTTGGTTCCTTTACATATGCAGCTAGGTTCTGTTGCAGATACAAAAATTAAGACTTGGTTCTTATTATAAGGAGTTTATATTTTGATTGAGGAGAAGAAACTCGCTCATGAGAAAACCAAGTAATAATGCAGTAAGAAAAAAGAGCAGAAAAGAAGTTCTTAACTCTTCGCAACTAAGAATCACTAGATGTGACGTATATTCTTAAATGACCATTATTTGGGGCTCTTTTTGTTTTTCAGTCATACTTAAAATTAATTTTTGAAATTTTTAATAGCTTTAAGCCAAGCAAGACATTTATGTTTATTAAAAGTGTTTAAAAGATCTATAGACCATGAACTAGAAGAAGATAGACCTAAATTTCAACAGTAATTGACTTCTGAGAGGATTTCCAAGTGATTTTTTTCTGTTCTGAATTTACCATAATATATTAATGTTACTTTCATAATAAAAAGAAAACGTTTTTAAATTGCATTACGATTGCCAGTATTAGCATTGAAGTTACTAAATGCTCCAGATACTAACAGAAGAGAAAAATTCTTACATTGGGTTATTCTGACACTCCATGGAATTTGGGGACTTGACTTAGTATCTAGATGCTCTAGGAGGGATAAGCTGAGGAGATGTTGACTGGGTCATTCACAGATGAGCTGAACACAAGGCCTGCTGCATGGTAAAGCCTTGTGTGTGTTCTTATGTTAATAAATGTTTCTGTTTCAGTGCTGGAATCAAAATAAAGTTCTTGTCTCATGTTCTTGAAATTCTGTCCAAAGGAGACCAGAAATGAACAAATGTCCAAGTACATATGAGTCAGCTGGCAATAAATTTTGTGGAGACAGTAGAGGAAAGGAGGGGAGTTGTAGGCAGCAGAGGGTTTGCTTTTGTGGGTTTAGGGGGAGCAAGGAGCTCTTCTCCTGGAGCCAGAGATCCGAAGAAGGAGGAGGGGAGCCACACAAGTACCTGAGTTCCAGGCAGAGGGGTGGAGCATGCTGGGCCTGTGGGAGGAGAAACAAGGAAGCTAATGTGGCCAGAGCAGAGGATGGAGGAAGATGGGGAAGCGGGGAGTTTGGGTTCTGAATTGGGTTCTGAATGAAACATTTTGTTCAAGTTAATCTCTTATTTATTTTTAAAACTTTTTACTTTGGGAATTTTCAACTATAACTCAAAAATGTATAGAAAATAGTGTAGGGAACCAATCTGTTCTTATCACTCACCCATAATCACTTTAAGCCATGACCAGTCTGGTGTCATCTGTGTCACCACTGATTCTTCAGCTCCCACCGCCCAGGGTATTTTGAAGCACATCTCAGATCTCATCATTTCCTCTGTCAGTATTTCAGAATATCATCTTAAAAGATAAAGTTCTCATTAATCAAACTGTCCCACTTTTGAGTAGCAGGAGCCCCTTCCCATTGGCTCCTACGCCCTGGTGAGAATGACCTGTAGCCTTTGACAGCCACCTTTGTTCCAGGCATGGAACTCACTTTAGACATTTCTTACTCAGATTTGGAGTCAGACGTTTCTCTAAGGATCCCTGGTTTCTTGTGGTAGGAAATGGCATTAATATTTGGAGGCAGAGTCTCATGGTGGGGATGGTTACTGCTGTAGTGTTGCCTTTGTTTCTAGGAATTTACAGTGGACAGAGGTAGGAAATACTCACTTGTCAGAAAGGAGACATAATTTCCATGATAAAGGTGTTACCTTGGCTGTATGGGGGCAGACGGGGAAGCAGGAAAGCAGTTGGAGGCTGCTGAGTGAGCATGCGGGAGCAACACCCAGGGCTGGTGGCAGTGGTGGGGGGAGAAATGTTTGGATAGTTTGGGATTCGTTTTTTAGAGTTACCAGAATTTATTAATGGATTCAACTTGAGGTGTGAAATAAAAAGAGGAGTCAAAGTGACACCAGGACTTTGGGTGGAGTTATTTGTGGAGGTGGAGGGAACTGTAGGGAAAATATTCTTCCTGGTGAGAGGAGGGGAAAGATGTGGTGCTGAGCTTTAGGCACATAGGTTTAGTTTGAGACACCTACTAGGACTCTAAGTTGAGTCTGTACTGAGCCTGCAGTTCAGGGGAGATGCCCAGGCTGGAGATGGATGCTTAAGTTGTCATACCAGTGGCGTGTAGAGCTCATGGACTGGGTAAGCCTGGAAAATTCATTTGTGGAAATAGAGAAAGCCAGAGGATGTGAGTGTAGGCGCTGGCAGGCAGTGCTGGGAGAAGGCGCGCTTCCAGATGGTTCTGTTGTCACAGTGAGACAGGAGACAGGTCATCAGTTAAGGATGGGGAACCCAGAAATGCATTAATGTACATAGTTACCATTCAATTTAAAAAAAAAAAATGGATGGGGAAGTGGGAAGGAAACAGGAGTTTGAGGAGAGAAGAGAAAGGTTAAGAGGGAAGTGGATGTGCATAGACCAGAGGCCCTCTGGGCAGCACAGCAGAGCCACCTGGTGTTAGTGGCCATGAGTTGAAACACTGAGGGGAGAGTATTGGTAGGCATGGGAGAGTCTGAGTTCAGTCTTGGACCTCGTAACTTCTCAGAAAGAGTGGCACCTTCAAGTAGAAATGTCCTCTAGGTACCTAGAGCGATAAACAGGGTAGGAGTCTTTGTAGTCATCAGTCTGAGCCTCCCCTTCCTAGCCTTCGTGAGGACTGAAGAAGCGTACCTTCTTTGTCAGAGACCAGGGCTTGCTGAGCTGAATTTTAGCCCCTACTTGTTCTTTCCTCGTCAGTCAGTCACTAGGGACAGAGAGCGTCACTGCATGCAAGGGCCCTGCCTCTGCTCTGGTGATTGCTGAAGCTGTGAAAATAAATTAGTTCATTGAAAGTTTCAAAAGGGGTGACTGAAGTTTGCTCTAGGGATATGATCACAGGGGGCCCAGTCTTTTTTTTGTGGCACTTGTAGACATGTGGAGTGACCCCATTAGGCCTGTCCCCCTTTGCACCAGAAGTGGAAAATCACACTGGCAATTTGGGGGCATGGAGGTGAGGAGAAAGTCATGGAATGACTAGTTTTCTTTTTACACTCACAGATCTAAGCCACTTCTTTAGAAAACATCTTATTTATTGAATAATGAATATGATTGCCCTTGACTACTAAAAATTCAAGCTAACATTTTCCTTTTTCTGAAAACAAACAGGCTTAAACAATTTAGATTTGGATATGTCTCCCTTGGAAATTACCAATAATCAGCACTAATCATCTTTAATCTCTTCAGTGGAGGTGAAGACCGGAGAAAGCAAGAGAAGTATTACTACCCATTCCGGATCATTCCCTACATGATCCATGTACGAAGTTCTGCCCAACCAGAATCGGAACCCTGCTGTCTCACACTGGTTGAAAAGATTCACTCTGGTTACGAAGGTAAGGGAGGGATAAGTGAGGACGGTGTTCTTTTAGAAAAGATACAGAGATGTCAGCAATCAGAAGGGTGCGTGGGAGCGCCTGTGTCCCGCGGCCATAGAACACAGAAGGTCACTCGAGTCTCCGGTGTGGCCTCTGAGCTCTGTCAGCCTTCCCGCTGATTTCTACTGACGTCTTTGTTCACTGACCTTGACTTCTGGCCATCATCTCCATCATGGGCAGCATGGTCTCAGTGTAGGGTCTGGCGACAGGCACGCAGTCTTATAGTCCTTTTTCTGTTGGTGACCCCTTGTGTGGCCTTCTATCTTGTGTGAAATAAGCACACTAAAATTGTCACGGAGAAGCCACAGGTACGAATTTATGTTTTTGAAGTGTTTTAAAATTCCCTGAGTAAAAAGTACATATATTTTGTGTCTTCTATGAACAGAGTTGTATTTCTAAACTCATGTATCAGTATCTAGGTAGCTTCCATGTATTACTTGAAATCACAGTCAGTTCTGATGTAATACGCCATGTAGTTCCCTCAAATTACTGTCCTATGCCATCATCACACAAAAACTACTGGGCTTATGAGGAAGATGGGTTCAGGAACATGATACTCAAAAACTTAATCTTGCATTAAAAATAAGACAGGAGGCTTGGCGCCTATCGCTCAACTGGCTAAGGCGCCAGCCACGTACACCTAAGGTGGCGGGTTCTAGTCCCCAGCCCGGGCCCGCCAAACAACAACAATGACGGCTGCAACCAAAAAATAGCCGGGCATTGTGGCAGGCGCCTGTGGTCCCAGCTACTTGGGAGGCGGAGGCAGGAGACTCGCTAGAGCCCAAGAGTTGGAGGTTGCTGTGAGCTGTAATGCCACAGCACTCTACCCAGGGGGACAGCTTGAGGCTCTGTCTCAAAAAAAAAAAATAAGACAGGAATCTAACCAAAATGGTAACACAGTTTTGCAAGTTAAATGATTAGAAAATATACAAATAACCACAATGACCCATAGCATAGGGTGAATTGAGGGAGCAGGCAGATATTCTAAGGTGTGTGTGTGTTTTTCTGTATTCCTAAGTGATTCTGTTCAAGTGGGTGCTGTTTTCTGTTTTCACTTAAGGTTTCTTGCAAATGAAATAGTGTATAAAAATGTGGGATATTAGCATTATGTGCACATTATTCTCTAGTATATTGATCACTACATTTTCAAGGCAAGTGTTGGAATAGAACTGACGATACCAATTTTATTACACAAAGAATGTCTATATGGTACTAAGTAACAGAACCTTTTATTTGTTTAGTCATATACATCCACTAAATATGACTGAACTTTTTAAGTTACTTGAGTTTAAATGAGATTATTTGTGTTGAGAAAACTAGATTTCTTTTTCTTTTGAGACTGAGTCTCACTTTGTTGCCCTAGGTAGAGTGCTGTGGCGTCACAGTTCATAGCAGCCTCCAACTCTCTTAGGCAGTTCTCTTGCCTCAGCCTCCCAGGTAGCTGGGACCACAGGTGCCTGCCATAACGCCTGGCTGTTTTTTGTTGCAGTTTGGCTGGGGCTGGGTTTGAAACTGCCACACTCCATATATGGGGCCGGCACCCTACTTACTGAGCCACAGGCACCACCTGAGAAAACTAGATTTTCCATGTGCACATGCTTTCTTGCTTAAAATTATCTTTATAGGCATTACATTTTGACCTGATTAAAATGTAGTCCATAATGAGGGTTAACTATCTTTAACTGTACATGTGGCTGCTTGAAGGCTGGGCTGCTAAGTGAGATTTCTGCTATTTGCCATTTTCATGTAGAGATTTTGTTCCTTTTTTAGTGTGCTAAGTGGATAGATATTTGCCTTTAAGTGCATCTCTGTTTTTTTCATAGCTCCTAGAATCCCAGTGGATAAAAGAATTTTTACCACAACACACAGCCCAGGGTGTGTTTTTCTTGAAGTGGATGAAAGGTAAATACTTCTTTAAACCTAAAATAAATTTGTTTCCAAAAATAAAATATGAAAAAGTTTACGTTATTTGCATATTTATATATTATATAACTGAAATCTAAC